TTTTTGTGGGATTATCCTATGCGAAAATTCGCAATTTTGGGCATTAATTTTGGAGTGAAAATAATGTTTTTTTCCGTTGATTTTACCAAACTTAAAAAGGTTAAAGAAACCAAACTCAGCTTGTCTTGTAGCTGAAGAGATACCCTTTCGTCCCATATACAGTTATTCTCCTTCCGAATTATTCCACGCCAGAGACGGTCGCTAGATTTGAGGGTGTGCAGCTTCGAATAGAGGCCCCAAATAAACTGGGGTGTGCCCCCTTAAAGTATTGTCTGTCAAAAAAGTCTGTTAAGATGGTAGAATTTTTACTGGTGTAATAATAAGAATCTTCAAAGCTTCAATTTTAACAGAAGAGAAAGAAATTGTCAGAGAATGTGTATTGTACATGTAAGAAAGCTAACTACACTGTAGATAAGGCCATGTTGATTTGATTACATGGATGACATCCGCGCGTGCATGAATTTTCCACCATTTCCAAAAAAAAAGTTTTCAACCATACTCTAAATTGTACAAAACAGTAGCAAAATGAGCAAATATATACCGTAAGTTGCGCATGCAAAAAAAAAATATTTAAAAATGATACCAGTATCACAGAATGCCAAAATCAAACAAAAATGTACAGAAATTAATTTGAAGAGTAGATTATTCACCAAACCATACTCTGTGTCATTTGTTAAACCTTCATGACCACGTACATTTCATGATGAAAGCAACTTTTTTTTGCAATACTTTTTTTTTTCATTCCCACGCGCCCATCAGTTTTGGCGTTCCCAGAGGATGTCATCCATGTAATCAAATCAACATGGCCTGAAGAAGAATTCTGCAATTGTTGAAAATTACCTTTGACATTTTCTCTCCTGACTGTTTAGCTTATAGCTGGCTGTATCATGCTGTACTTCCAACTGGGCTGGAGCGCTGTGATTGGAGCTCTTCTCATCATCATCATGTCTCCTGTCAACTACAAAATAGCAAGGAAATCAGAGGAACTTACCAAGACTAAAATGGTATGTCATACACCAATAAATGCAGTGCATAAGGAACTACATTTGTGAGCATTGACATTGTATCAAAAATACATTTTAGGAAATGAAAAATGAATCTTAAACTTGCAGTCAAGCATAACAGTAACTGTAGTTGTAATTTTGTGGGTGTAACGTTATGTTTTGTTGTTTTTTTTCACAATTTTTTGCAACTGTTTCTTGCAGGCTGCATCAGATACCCGTATGAAGCACATCAATGAAACTATTCAGGTAAGGGTTTGCACTTCATTGTCACAGATGGAAAAGTCATCCGACCTACCACGTTTTGATGTTCGATGCTCCATGTTTTGATGTTTGATTCTTCATGTTTTGATATTTGGGAACACTTGCACTTGCTTGCAATTCTACCGCGTCCAGACCGTTTTTTCCATCCCAACCAGTCTGGACCGCTTTTTCCACCCCTCCTAACCGGTCCAGACTGGACCGTTTTTTCCACCAACCCTTCACCAGATATGTGTATATTCTGACCATTTTGGATGAGTAATTGTTTTTGTGGCCTTTGTATATATGTCATTATCTACATGTTCATACAGGCTATCAAGCTACTGAAGCTTTATGCATGGGAAAAGATGTTCAGTGAAAAAGTACTTGATGCCCGGAACAAGGAAGTTACAGAAATGTACAAACGAGCTGGCTGGGAGATCCTCACATGTAAGTAGAACCATACTTTGATACTATGACGTTTCTGATCATAAACTGAAATTGTCTAGCATGTATCTGAAAGCTAGCATTCAAATTAATTCCCGTCAATGTTCAGGGCAATGTTCTAAATGCAGTTTCTGATATTTTCCAGCATTCATCACGCAAGCAACTCCAGTGGCTGCTACACTCATCGTGAGTTATTGACTTTAAGGCCACACCAATTTAATTTGTTGGTTCTCGGATTCGCCTCTTTGTTTTTTTCTGATTTGCAAAAAAAAAAAAAATTTGATTCTGGTCCTGAATCAACTGAAAAATGCTCATGTTTTGCCCCCCAACAGTTGAGGAAAGTCCTTTTCTTCCTAGTTGTTACAGTTTTCCCATCTATCATTGCAGTGGTATGATTAAAAGTTCAAAATTCAATGTTTAAATTTTAACCCAGCCTTTTGTGTTGACTTCATGGCTCATTTTGTAGCATTTAAGCCTATAATAGGATGCCTAGACCTGTTTTTATTTTTTATTTTTTTCGCCCTGTCGCTTCATATTTTTTCTGAAAAAATCCGAGAACCAACAAATTAAATTGGTGTGGCCTAAGTTTAAGTAAAAGTATTGAAATTCAGTAATCACTAACTATATGACCAAAATACATGTACATAATTCTTGAAACAATTTCAAGCATTATAGCCACATACAAAAATACTCTTAAAGGCATCCAATGCAATTTTAGAGTACAAAACAAAAAATATTCTGGATGAGGAAATCTGTCTGATATTGAGACATTTACTACCATTTCTTTTGTCATCAATTCATACCTGAAGCGTTTCAAACAGCCCTAAAACAAGCTACGTGAGGCGTCTTTTTATTTCTTTATTTTATTTTATTCACATTTATTTTTCGAGGATTAGGCAACAAGTTATAAAACTTTTCTCAGCCCTCTCCTCACACATAAAAGGAAACAATAAAACAAATTTAATAATAATAAAAAGAAGAAGAAATGACAAAGGTACATAATGAGCTGGTGTCTTTTTATATTTTGGGTACCACCCATAAATAGCTTGAAGCAGCCTACGATACAAAACAATCAACCGTTCTCCGTCAGCGACATTGCATTTTTGCCTGACAGATATCAGTGTGTTGTAGGACAGGATTGATTCAACCTACTACAAAGTACCTTAAGAGAATGACCAGAAAATTCACTTTGAAAATCCAGTTGTGGTGCTCTGCCTTTAACAGTCCCTGTTTTGCAGTCCTTCGGTACTTACGAGTTCCTCAACAACCAGCCGCTGACGGCGGCCAGTGCCTTCACGTCGCTCTCCCTGTTCAACATCATGGCCTTCCCGCTCACCATCTTCCCCATCCTGATTCGCACCGTCATCAACGCAACCGTGGCGACCAAACGGATGAAACCGTTCTTCGAGTCCACCGAAGTCGAGGAGCTCGGGAACCTGTCTCGTCCTGACATCCACGCGGGCGACGGCGATGAAGGCCAGAATGGAATGACAGATCGCCACATAGTCTCAGTAATTATTATGTCCTCTTACGTCTGTATACATGTACATATCAAAAATAAATGCTGCATTATTCAAACATGGTACAATAACAACAATATGAAGTGGCAATTGATATTTGTGAATATTTGCTTTATGTAACCACATAGGCATATATTTATTTTATATTTATTACGTTAATATTGTAAATAATTGACGACAGTTTTTTTGATAACTTTTTTTGTTTTTTTGTTTGAATTCTCAACCAACATCTCATAGAAACACATTAATTTTACTTGTCTTTGAGGGGTGTTTGCTTTGATTCTTAAATCAGTCAAATTTAACTCATTGTAGCATTTCTTTCATATGTTTCCTTTTCGTCTTTTTATTACATCATTAAACCTTACTCCTTGATGTTTCATGTGGTATCTGCAATCTCCATATTTCCAACAGGTACCAGACGTGAAGGTAGTGACGAATTCCAAGAAGGACCTGCATGAAAATGAGAGCAGTGTGGAGCTGAAGCAGCTTGTCCGAGGGCTGTCACATACAGACATGGCAGACGATGTGGCTATTCAGGTCTGTTCAACTTGTTCTTCATCTTAAGGCCATGTTGATTTGATTATATGGATAACATCCCCTGGGAACCCCAAAACTGATGCGCGCGTGCAAATAAAAAAAAGTTTTGCAAAAAAAAAGTTACTTTCATCATGAAATCCAGGCGGTTATAAAGGTTGAACAAATGTCACGGAATATGGTTTGGTGAATGATGTACTCTTCAAATTCATTTATCTACATTTTCGTCTTTTTTTCTTTGATTTTGGTATTCTACGACATTAGTAATATTTTTTTAAATATTCTTTTTGCAACTTATGGTATATATTTGTTCATTTTGCAACTGTTTTGTACGATTTACAGTATGGTTGAAAACTTTTTTTTTTTTGGAAACGGCCGAAAATTCATGCGCGCGCGGATGTCATCCATATAATCAAATCAACATGGTCTAACCGTATACTTGAACATATGGTTCATTAATGGTATGGTTATTTTGTACATGTATACTAACTTTTGTATCAATGCAGTTTACCTTCTTAAATGTTACATTTTTTTTTCCTTTGTAGATCCGTGATGGCAACTTTTCTTGGGAACTAGAATCTGACAGTGCAGCACTCAGTGACATCAACCTAGGAGTACAGAAAGGTATTGTATGTCAAGTTACTGCAATGGACTGCATATATGTGACAGACTGAAACAACAAACGTTGTAGAACAAGTTGCTATGGTAAAGAGTCTATTTGTATCTTCTTTATAGGTTTGGTGAATGACACGTTCTCTATTTTAGCGTGTGTAGTCCAGTGGTTAGCGATCCTGCCTCTGGTCTAAGAGGTTGGGAGTTCGAATCCCGGCTGTGGTCTCTCACCCGACATGCACGCTACTGTTTAGGGTCGCAGTCCTTAGGACGGGACGTTAAGCCATGGTCCACTGTTCATTGTGCTTGTCGAAAAAGAGCAAGGGGAATTTTCCCGGTACAATGAACCTGTAAATACTGTACATAGCGTCTGTCTTCTCTGTCACGACCAGTGGAAGAGTTAGCTCTTCAGTGAGGTAAAACTGGCTCGAGATCACTTTCTTTCACTTTCTTTCTTTCTATTTTGACATCTCCCAAAAATATGTGTCAATGAATATTCTTTCTTTGTACAGGAAAGCTGACCGTAATTGTTGGACAGGTGGGAAGTGGGAAGTCCTCCTTGTGTTCAGCCATTCTCGGAGAGATGAGAACTCTTTCTGGACAAGTCCTGTGGGACAAGTCAGTATATATACCATTCCTCGTTTCACCAAACATCTATCAATAATTCTACTGGCAATACTAAATTATAAATTAAAGAGTTTCACAAATGAGTAAAATGGGTTTAAACATTTTGAAATGTATTTTCTACATTGGCAAGAGCATACTGAATATGAGATCAAGACCTGGTATATGCATTTGATTAAATGAACACATGAGCAAGTGCAACAAAGAGTAAGTGTAACCATATCTGGCTCAATGTTTAAGAGAATCAGTCTATAGTTCATGTAATGTTAGTAATACACTTCAGTATGTCTTGGATCATTATCTTTAGACACACACACATCATCTTCAGCTTACAGTGTGGAAGATCAATGCTTGGTCATAATCATTTATTTGGGCTAGTGGCCATTGCTCAGCTTTCAAAAGTTGATGAGTAACTTACTCACATGTATCTTTATCCAAAAGGGAACACAACAGTGTGGCATATGGAGCACAGAAACCTTGGCTTCTCAATGCTACCTTGCGGGACAACGTGACCTTTGGACAGCCCTTTGATGTCTCTAGGTAAATTCTTATTCCATTATGTTATGACATACATGATTAGCACACTCAGTGTGCGTCTGATATATATTACATGTACATCTTTCATAGAGTTGGTATTTGATTGAGTTTTAAAAAGAGACTACACAATTCAGTCCAGGCATCCAACATCCTGAAGCATATAGAAGAAAAATGTGTTCAAAAGGTTTAGATGTGCTCAGATGTGCATATATGTGTACAACATAGTTCAACAATAATGTACTATGATGAACACAGATGAACTTTCATGATGATGTACAACAGAAGTTGACCTCTGAGTCATGTGGTATCAGTAGTCATGTCTTCACGCATCTAATTCAATGATTTGAACTCTTTCCTAAATACTCACTGTTACTTTATGTTTAAATGCCATTAGTTACTACATTTGTAATATTACAAAATGTGTTGATTGCCATTTATTACAACTTTTTGTTGCTGCATGTTTCAGGTACCAGAAGGTGATCACAGCCTGCTGTCTTCAGCCTGACATCGACATTCTCCCTGGAGGGGACATGACAGAGATTGGAGAAAAGGTATAAATCGCAGTGACTTACATGTTATGAGAACATTTTGTGCAAAAGGCTGCATTCAGTGTAACTGTAATTGGTCTTATATAATATAAAATGCCCTTGTCGTCTCTGTATTCTGATCACATTGCCATAGGATGTACATTATGCTGTTCATGCAGATGTTGGTCTTGTTTTTCTTTGTAGGGAATCAACCTGAGCGGTGGCCAAAAACAGAGGATCAGTCTGGCAAGAGCACTGTATTCAAACAGTGATATTGTCATACTGGTGGGTATGATATGCTAAAATTAATGATATTTCAAAATTATAATTAAGTCGTCTAGCCAGTTACTATATTTGTCTGCTTTTACTGACTGTCATATTGGAATTTGTCATATTGTTCTTATCATTAGTTGGCAAGCAGGTACATGTAGATCATTTTCTAATTATGTATTGAGTTGAAATCTGCCATGATGATGTCTTTGAGACTCAGGGAACATTCATTTGAGTCCAAAATTTGAACAGACACATCAAACAAATTCAGCTCAACTGTAAAACTCATATTTTTAAACGTTCGTTCCTTTTGTCCAATGTGATACAACAGGATGACCCACTGTCAGCTTTGGACGCCCATGTCGGGGGTGACGTGTTTGAGCACGGCATCATGGGACACCTGATTAACGACGAGAAGCGGACCGTGATCCTGGTCACACACAAGCTGCAGTACCTGGAGGAGAGTCAGTATGTAAGTGGTGATTTTGTTGACCTCCACAGAAAGAAAATTTTTGCTATTTCTTCTTATTATTTTCCAAACACATAAGGTCAATGACCTGGACCAGACGTTTGTTACCATGGTAGCTAGTGCTGTAGCAGACACCCTGTGGTGTTGGATTACATTATGTACATGTAGCAATTGTAGGACAGAGTTGGAAGTGGTTGTCACAAATAATACATGTACTAGACATAGATGTGTTTGAGCAAGAATTAACAGAGCAGTGGTTTGTTAGGCTAATCCATGTTAAGGTAAACATTATGCATTTGTTACCTTTCAAATGTTACCTTTCTAGTTTTGTTTAATTGTTTTGTCTGCAGAACTTACTGCAACTGTGCCAAACCTGAATTTTTCACTGTTTTCATTGGATGTTAGTCAATGTTCACTTAGCGTAAGAATTTTGTAGATGCAGATAGATGGTACCTGTTGTGCTGTTGTTGAAGGAATCTTAAGCCTAATCTAATGTGTGATTGTCATAGGTGGTGGCCATGGAGAATGGCTGTATCCTGGCCCAGGGAACCATGGATGATATCCGTCAGTCCAACCCAGAACTCTGTGACAGCTGGAGGGAGATTGTTGCCAAAGGCATCCGGGAGATGCAGGAAAGGTGAGCATTCCACTCGTTATCTCCTCCTTAAAAGCAGGCACATTCAGTTACTTTTGCATAAAGCTATCAATTTAAAAGATAGTTTTAAACATTGTTTAGACTCTGAGTTAGATGTTCAAAGGATAGGTGAGATGTTCAAAGGATAGGTGTAACAGGTCATTCGGTGTGATATAGCTAGCTGCCGCTGTGCCGTGTGCCTGCGAAGATGGTGTGTTAAGCCAAAGGGCTTGTACCAGCTATACAGATACAGCTACATCAGATGACATACTTTTATGCTTTTGCACATGAGTGTAGATGTTGTGTTGACCTACATACATGTATGTAAATCATGATTGTTGTAATTATTTTGTTTGTTTCTTTTTGTTTGAACCTTTTTTATTCAAATTGACCTGCAGGCTGATTTTCATTGAGGTCATGAGGTAAGGGTCGGACAAAATATATCAATTAGATAACTATGATTATTATAATGATAATTAGATTATGACTATAAACTTATTACCAGAAGTGTCATGTCATTGTTTTCCGCCACTAGGGCAAGAACCCGGACTGTCTCCAGCGGCAGTGCCAGTGGTGAGGAGGGAGAGGACGAGATGTCAGCGGAGGCAGAACGAGCCGCGCTGGTGAGGCAGCTGTCCCGCCAGCAGTCAGTCAGGTCACGCACCACGTCTTTTGTGAAAAAGGAGGGGAAGGAAGATGAGGAAGATGAGGAGGAAGAATTGGACGAACAAAAAGGTAGATAGGTTTGATAATAATGAGTTCCATTTCCCATATCTAATTTGATTACATGTAGGCCTTAGGAAAAAGATGTACATTGTATATCCTGTTTCCCGACCGACCCTAGAAAAAAGATTTTTTTTTGTGGATCCCTGCAAGGGGCATAATTTTTTTCAAGCTGCCCTTTTCTAGCTCAATGATCTGACACCTGAGTGATGAAATGCTGTACAATCATTTTTCCAACATTTCCAACATAAGTTAAGTGTCCTCATGCAAGTTTTACTTGTATAAGTAACTGTTGTATCAGTAGAGGTTGACAGAGTCTAAAGAAACAAGAAAGATAAAAAGATAATCCCTATCTACCAAGCCCTATTGTTTTTAGGACTGAAACAGGAAACACAGTAACTGTTACATTTTTTCCTAGGCCTTATTGAATATCTGTATGAGACCACGTACTGGTCGAATGTCAATGACGATGAACAATTTTGATGTTGATTTATCAATGCAAAGAGGAGGAGATGGACAAGTTGAATGAAGAAAAGGGTAGGAGATTTCACTTTGTCGCTGTCATAAGAATATCATTGACAATTAATACATTCAATCAATACCTATTTAATCATGGTTATATGTCTTCTTAAGGGTTTTACAATGTATATGATGTTCATATATGAAGAAATTGATCAGTGTTGAAATGATTGATTTTTGGTGATTTTTTGGTGATTTTTTTAAATTGAAGTGTGACTGTTTGTGCTATTTTTCACCAGCCTCAAAAGATGAAGAAGAAAAGAAGGCGGGTGAGTTAAACTGAAGCACAGTGTATGCATGTCATGACAGGGTTACTGTGCACCCTGGTTCTAACCATGCCATGCATGGTGTTTCTGTTCAGTCTGTTTCTGTTTCAGTCTCTCACAGGTGGTAGTGGATCTGAACTGCATGCATACAACTGCATGACTGTGGTGCTTTCTGTTTCCTACCTTGTATCACCATAATTCAATGCTGTTTCATAACCCAATACTTAGGAGCACATCAGATGGTGTCATGGTGTCCTCTTTATACCCTTTTGTTACCATTGCAACTTGCATGTTGCCAGTTGTGCTGTACATTATATAAAATTTCCAGTCTTTTTGGTTTGACGTAACATTTATGATTTTGCCTTCCAGTCTACTAACCAGCATGGAATGAAAGTTCAACACAAAAAATCTGTCCTAGATCATTCATTATGAAGTATTGTGAATACAGTGCTTTTCCTGAACATTCCCAGCATTTATGCTTGTTCAGAGTTACTAATTTTAAAGTGTTTGCAGCTTAACTTCACATTCAGTATGAACTCAAGTCAACTTTTCGAACAAACTCTCAATGGGTGGTCTGGGGCAACCACAAAATCTGTGGTTTCTACTAATAACAGTCTTACAACATGACCATCTCTTTGTGGTGTGTCATAGCAGGGTTCGAAATACTGGGTGCTATATTGTGCACCTTAGTGCACCCAAAATTGGAGCTGTGCACCCAATTTTTTCGGTAGGTGCACTGGTGCACCCAAATATTTTTGTAGGTATTTTGTACATATTGTATATACTATAGTATACAGGATATTCTTGGCATTAAATGTCAGGAAAATTATAAGACCTATCTTTGCTGTAGTCCTTGTTTAAGATTTTGAAGTTAGCTCCCATTTTAGTTTTAAGCTCAGAAGAGTCTGTAAGATCTGTAATTAGGTTTTGTTTTATACTGTGCACCCAAAAAAATTTTTTTGCACCTAATTTTTTAGGTTGGATGCACCAGTGCACCTATTCTCAAAAATGAATTTCGAGCCCTGCATAGTTAGGTTTGCATTCTTAATTGGACATTGAAATATTGCACAAATCCATGTAGCTGCGGAGGGGAAACTGGTTGAAGAAGAGGGGCGGTCTGTAGGATCAGTCAAGCTGCAGCACTACCTCACATACGCTGCTGCCTGTGGATCCATCCTTGTCATCTTTCTCCTACTCTCCCAGGTACATTCATCCTCATGTTGCTTATTATACTAAGTACTGTAGTTCATTTTACGGTAGAGAAAAATGGAGGTGTTCACAGTCACTGTGGTAGCAGGTGCAGTAAGAAAGGCAGCAAATTATTTGCTATTACGGTAATGATAAGTTTGTGGTACAGAAGTGAACGCAAAAACCTCAAACACAACAGTACTGTGAAAAAAATTTGGAGTTTTGGTACTTGTGGTCTCACAAATAAGTTACCTTTTAATTTGCCCTACATAACTTTCTTAGCAATTACTTTATGTTGTATTATATTGTTATTATTTTATTGTGTTTGGGGTGCATTGAAAACCGCCCTCCAGGGCGATATGTTCTCTGGTCAAATAAGTAAACAAATAAATATGCTTGGCATAAAGATTGATAGTTTCATTCATCGGGTTACAATTGGATGGCAATTAGGTAATGTTGAAAATGAGAGCATTCAATGTACATACATGTACAACTGATGCAGGTATGTATTATTATGTGTCTTTCCTAAAATGAATGTCTCTTTCTCGATGTCCCACAGTTGTCCAAGCAGGGTTTGCAGGTGGGGATTGACTTCTGGCTGTCTTCCTGGGCTTCGGCCTCAGCGGGCAGCACTGCACAGCCTATGAACAACACAGCTGGCAACCAAACATTCGGAAATGCCACACAGGTGAGGTTTCCAACCCTGCTTTGATCATGCCAAAAAACACTTACTCGACAGTTAGTCAAGCAACTGGATATGATTTTGGAAATGGCCAGACGTTTCAGGTAGCATTCACTACCTAAAAAAGTCATCAGTGATACTGGAGAACATCTCAAAAAAGCAGGTTTACAAATGTATATTACAAGCACAAACTACATGACATTAATTGATATGCTTGCTTTCATTGATATGCTTCCTTTGATCATTTTCCCAGTGTGACATTATAATTTTGAAATCCGGGAATAATTTCATCAGGTTGATTTTTAAAAAATTAATGATTAGATAGGAAATATTCACAACCACCTAAATGACAGCCAACATTTCAACTGTCTGTAACATCGTATCTTCATCAGGGCTTATTCTGATAATAACAAATGGTTTAAGAGTTTGCTTGACTGTGAAAAGCCTTTGACTATTTTGTAGTAAGAAATCAGTTATCAGTATTCTAAAAAAATATCATTTTCCCCCACAGGCTCCTCCAACCATAGATGTTGACTATTATATCAAAGGCTATACTGGACTGTCGGTGGCAGCCATTTCTGTAACAGCTTTTGCGTCGGTCATAACTATTCTGTCCATGATCAAAGGAGCCAAGAACCTACACGAGGCAATGGTCCGGAACATCGTCCTTTCTCCAATGCGGTCAGTCAATGTTTTTCGTATTATTTAGTATAACAGCAGAACATCAACCCACAGGACAGAGGCAAATGGCGGGCTGCCAGCATCAGTGTGAAAGCATATCTAACCCTGGCCTCGGATGTTTGGAAACAACAGACAATAAACCAGATAGGGAGTTAGTGTGAGTGAGGAATAATCTGGCAAAAGATTTTAAGTTATTGGTATATACTGTAGGGGTCTACGGAAAAACCTGGGTGCCTGCCAGGCCTGACGTGCTAGCAAGGCCAGATATCCTGGCCTGGCAGGCACCCAGTTTTTTTTGTAAACCCTATTCTGTAGAGTTTTTTTGAAAAGTTGGAAACAGCAAATGGTAGTAGATGCTGCCACTTGTAACTACTAATTTACCAAGTGATTTAGGGAAACTTTTACCATTAATGAAGCCAGCCTTGGTCAAGTACAAAACAGTGCCAATCTAAAAATGCCACTGGTCTGTTTCTTCTCCCAGGTTCTTTGACACAACTCCTACTGGTAGGGTGCTGAATCGCATGGCAGAGGACACTGCAACTATAGACTTGGTAAGCCCATCAAAGTCATGCTTACCAGAACAAGGCAAAGCTTAACCCTAGCAAAGAATTTACAGTACATAATGCACCCCTTAACTGGGATTAACAGATGGCATTAACAGATTCCTAGCTGTAAGAGAATCATGATCACTTGGTTGTAGTACAATTTGTACATTCCCTAACACAACCATGTCTCTCAACCAAGTCCCCATTAGAAGTCATGTCTGAATGAAGACCATCATTTTAGATTTTTGCCCCACTAGGCTAAGCACAATTCAAAAAGTATATAATATACTGGTAAATGTCAAGTACTTTCAACTTCCTCTCGCTTCTTGGTAATTGTATAAAAGTAGTTGGATGTATGGTTAGTTAGAGCTGGTTTATTGAAGACTGTAAGGAATATAAATTTCTCCATACTATTCAGATACTTAAAATGGGAAAATTCACTTAACAGATAATTGAAAAGAATGTTTCATTTTCTATCATACAAAGAACAATCCACAATAAAATGTACCTCATTTTCTATTTTACCTTAACTATAATCCCTTTTATACCTACCTCCCCACCCTAGCGTCTGCCGTTCATGATGGAGCACCTGATCCGTGTGATCCTGCTGGTGTGCTCGGCTCTTCTCGTCAACGCCGTGGTGACGCCGTACTTCCTCATCGGTGCCGTTCCCATCATCATCCTGTACTACATCGTGCAGAAATACTACCGCGCTACAGCCAGGTGAGAGTAAAGAGACTCTTTTGACACAACTCAAGTGTTTTATTCACAGCTGACGTTTGGGTGACCGTCTGTCACCTTCCTTAGGGCCAATCTGACTGGTTCACATATCTAAATATCTAAATATTGTACATTTGGGAATGCATCTATAGGAGCAACACCTGTGCTGCAGTGCTATGTGAACCAGTCAGAATTGCCCTGAGGAAGGTGACAGACAGTCACTGAAACGTCGGCTGTGAATAAAACTTTCCACTGATTGTAATTTGTATTGTTGTTTGTGATCTCATGCATGTTTTCAACACTGCCATTTTTAGTCCTATCTACATGCTGAAGGGCAAAACTAAATGTTCTCTGGTTTGTTGGTAGTAGAAAGTATTCAGCACCAAGGACAATACCAGCTTATAACTACATTGCTTCGCAAGTTGAGGGCATATTTTGCCTTTTTTGTTGGTAGTAGAAAGTATTCAGCACCAAAGACAATACCAGCTTATAACGACATTGCTTTGCAAGTTACCGGTAAGAGCATATTTTGCCCTTTTTGTTGGTAGTGGAAAGCATTCAGCACCAAGGACAATACCAGCTTATAACTACATTGCTTAGCAAGTTGAGGGCATATTTTGACCTTTTTGTTGGTAGTGGAAAGTATTCAGCACCAAGGACCATACTTCTTATTAGTACATTGCTTAGCAAGATGAGGGCATATTTTGCCCTTTTTGTTGGTAATGAAAAGCATTCAGCACCAAGGACAACACCAGCTTATAACTAGTTACATTGCTTAGCAAGTTGAGGGCATATTTTGCCCTTTTTGTTGGCAGTGTTCTCTGAATTCAGCACCAAGGACAATACCAGCTTATAACTCCATTGCTTAGCAAGTTGAGGGCATATTTTGACCTTTTTGTTGGTAGTGGAAAGCATTCAGCACCAAGGACAATACCAGCTTATAACTACATGGCTTAGCAAGTTAAGGGCATATTTTGCCCTTTTTGTTGGCAGTGGAAAGCATTCAGCACCAAGGACAACGCCAGCTTATAACTACATTGTTTTGCAAGTTAAGGGCATATTTTCCCCTTTATGTTGGCAGTGGAAAGCATTCAGCACCAAGGACAATACCAGCTTATACATAGTTACATTGCTTAGCAAGTTGAGGGAATATTTTGCCCTTTTTGTAGGTAGTGGAAAGCATTCAGCACCAAGGACAATACCAGCTTATAACTACATTGCTTAGCAAGTTGAGGGCATATTTTGCCCTTTTTGTTGATAGTAGAAAGCATTCAGCACCAAGGACAATGCCAGCTTATAACTAGTTACATTGCTTAGCAAGTTGAGGGCATATTTTGCCCTTTATATCGGTAGTGGAAGCATTCAGCACCAAGGACAACACCAGCTTATAACTACATTGCTTAGCAAGTTAAAGGCATATTTTGCCCTTTTTGTTGGTAGTCAAAAGCATTCAGAACCAAGGACTATACCAGATTGTAACTACATTGCTTAGTAAGTTGAGGGCTTATTTTGCCATTTATATTGGTAGTGGAAGCATTCAGCACCAAGGACAATACCAGCTTATACATAGTTACATTGCTTAGCAAGTTGAGGGCATATTTTGCCCTTTTTGTTGGTAGTAGAAAGTATTCAGCACCAAGGACAACACCAGCTTATACATAGTTACATTACTCAGTAAGTTGAGGGCATATTTTTCCTTTAACTAGGTGGTGAAAAGCATTCAGATAGTAATTAATCCAGTCACATTTTTACAGGGAAATCCAGCGTCTTGACAACATCAACAAGTCTCCTGTATTCGCCCACTTCTCAGAGACACTCGGGGGACTGACTACTGTACGTGCCTACAGGTGATGACATAGTCTTACCTACTAGTATTCACACAGTTACTGTCAATTGAAAGTCATTTCTTTAATACTTTGGCCACACCAATTTAATTTGTTAGTTCTAGGATTGGCCTCTTAATTTTTTTCTGATTCTGAATCAATCTGATTTCTGGTTCTGAATCAACTCAAATATGCTCATATTTTTTAAACAACAGTTGAGGAAAGTCCTTTTCTTGTTGTTACAGTTTTTCCATCTATTAATGCAGTGGTTTGATTAAAAAGTTCAAAATTCATTGTTAATTATTAACCCAGCCTTTGTGTTGACTTCATGGCTCCTATGATCGTAGCATTTGAGGCTATAGTAGGATGCCTAGACCTGTTTTTATTTTTTCGCCCTGTTGCCCATATTTTTTCTGAAAAAATCTGAGAACCAACAAATTAACTTGGTGTAGCCTTACCTTCCTACTACTGTTTCAGAAGAAGGAACCTTCAATACCATATGTTATGGAGATTTTAAGCCAAATTGGCTTTTACTAGCAAACATACATGTAGTGGTAGTACAAGTTGATCAGACAGTAGTTGTATGTCATAACTATTGCTTTCATTGCTTTACCATACTTTCTTTGACACTGTAAAACAAGCAATTAGCATTTGGGCACAATTTTGCTGAAGACCAATGGTGTTTAAATACAAATGTATGTACAATTTTTGTACTAGGCATACATTTGTACTTTTCAATCATCCTATCATCCCAACCATGGCCATTGTAACACTTTATTTTTCAACTCAGTGAAGTCCATAAAAATAGCCGTAGAGTACATTGAAACTTCAGGATCAAATATTGAATATCAAATTATATAGAAATCATATATTGCTACATTTGTACAGGGCGGAGAAGAGGTTCAGTGAATCCATCATGGACAAACTTGACCGGAGCAACACCCCGTTCTACTACACAGCTGCCACCTCCTGCTGGATAGGTGCCAGGCTGGTAGGTGTAACATACATTTATTTACAGGCTACTGTCCCTCTTATATTGAATTTATTTTACTCCACTGTTTTCAAAGTTATTACAGGAAGACTTAGTGATGTTGGACAGGCAAAGTATAAATTTCAAAATATTAATTTCTATTTAGGGCCTAAATATTCCAATCTATTCTAAAGGCTTGATCTTGATACAAAAGGGAATCAAAATGTAAATTTTAAATCTTAGTTAAAAAGAATAGAATCCCCTACATGTATGCATTAGTTTGTTTTTTTTACTCTAACATTTCATGACAAGACATGGTGACGACACACTCATTCGACAAGTTTTTCAACTTATTTTAAACCCCACCAACACAGAGGACAAATACAAGACAGGGCAATACCCATTTTCACTTGAGCAAAGTGAGGAAAGTCGTGTAAAGTGCATTATATTTCCCAAAGGCACAAGATCAGTGGCATGTCAGGACTCAAACCTGGGACCCGAGGGTGCTCGAGTCGAGCACTCTGCCGTTATGCCACACAACACCATGCATTAGTTAACCTGACCTACTTGAAACACGCAGTTGTCTTATTATTATGGGTTCACCACACCACGAAGTGGTGTGGTGAAACCATATTGCTTTTTCTGATGTTTCTTCTCCTTCTCCTCCTCCTTCTCCTCCTCCTGCCATATCTTTAAATGGATTCAGCTTCTTCATTTTAGGGCCTAAGGTCCTGAAATTTGGTATGGAGGTACAGTGGGCAAATACCCCTAGGCGTTTTTTAAATTATTGTGATACAGGCTTTTAGAATGGTTTTATTTGAGTTTTTTGGCTGTGTAATAGCTAATGTATTACTGTGTAAGTGTGCAGTGTTTACCACATTTGGACATGAGTCATCACAATGGCATGCAAGGCATCAACCAATAGGCATGCAGCTTTCCTCTATTCTCCTTGCTGATTGGCTGTTGGGATTTAACTGGCTTAACTTCATTTACACCTGCACAGAGCCATGCCATACTGACAGTATGTCTGTATTCAAGTGTTTTGGTAGGTATTTTAAGCTTTCCTGCTCCAGCATTGGAATGCGGGCTATGAAGGCTTCTTTTTATCTTGAAAATCAACAGTTTGCATTATGCAATCCTAACCAATAATGTAGGGAATAGCTATCCAACTGTTGTAGTCTTAGTTGTATGTTACTTCATACTATAGTTATATCAATGTAAAGCATTGTTTTCCCTTGTGTTTCTCATTCTTTCCCTGCCATGTGGTAAAATGTGGTGAACCCATCGCTATATTTGCTCCAAAGCAAATATTGGCCTTTCTAGTTATTACTCTCTTTCCTGGATGTTATGTAGGGGTACATGGGAGGCAGCATTGTGTTCCTGGCCGGCCTATCCGCCATACTGGCCGCCATGTTTGGATCAGTCTCTGCTGGCATGGTGGGGCTGTCCATCACCTATGCACTCAACGTAAGTTACAATACTTACATGTATCTGGCTGCTTTTGGTCAAAGAACATGCTAAATGGCAAAGCTTAGCATGTGCCAGAATCACAATCAAACAACACAACAGAGGGCACAGCAACTCAAATTCAATGCTTTTTCCATTAGTACAATGTTTGTTTGTTTGTTTGTTTGTTTGTTTGTTTGTTTGTTTGAACCATTCTTTAACTGCAAGGAGCTCACATCTGCCACTTTTCATTGAGGTCATTGGGGAAAACATAATCATTATATAATAAGTTTACATCATTTAGAGTCCTAATAAATCTATACACATAGCTTACACAATATATACAAAATGTTACAAAATGAAGTTCAACATATTTATATTATAGAATTGCATACGCCATATACTAGTAGGTGATGTCCATTCGTTTTGGTTGTTTCTTATTTCTGTATTTTTCTTTACAAAGTGGGCAAGGGAGAAAGACAAATGGCAGTGTTCAGACTATCAACACATTCAACTCAGCTATATATCTATATGTCTGATCAACCGAAAAAGTGACAAATGCCTAATTACTAAATAGATGATGAACACTTTACAGATTCAGATGTACCTGTTGTGGGTGGTGCGTGGCTATGCTGAGGTGGAGATGATGATGAACTCTGTAGAGAGGGTGGACCAATACTCCTCCACACCAACAGAACCATACCACAAGGATGGTAGGGGCTTTTTTTAACAAGTTTGCTTAGTGCAAAGACAAAAAGGCCACTTTTGTGCTCACTGCAGCAGCATCTCTTCTCCCTAAGTCAGAAACATCAGGCTTTAGGCAAGATTGACTGGGTTTACGGAAACCCTGGGTGCCTGCTCAGCCAAGTAGCCTGGCCTGGCAGGCACCTAGGTTTTTCCATAAACCCAGCTTGACTAACAAACTCAATACGCGAAGTAGGGGTTACGAAGGTTGCTCAGGAAATTCCCTATATGCCATTTTAGACTGGAATGGTTTGATCCACTCACACCAGTAAGGACCCCTCTTTTCAATAAGTGTCGTGGGTTCTTTCGGGTGCTTGAACTGTAGCATTTAAAGAAGATCTGACTGTAAGAAACAAGAGGCGAGCAGTAAAAACCCCATTGGTCCCGGGCCGGAGTTTGAACCCACAACCTCCCGGGCCCCAGTCAGACACTCTAACCTCTCCGCTAAAAGGTCTAGACCCCTTTGCCGGATCTGTTGGTAGCGCCTATAAACCCCCCACTGTTACACTAAAACAAAATTTGAAATGCAAATGAATCGTTTAGCTAAAATGATATCACATGCAAAGTATATTGTAACCTCTGCTTTATGAATTAGCTGAGTTTTATTCACAAGAATGTACTTACTAATAATTAATTTGTCGCAGGTAATGTCATTCCTGATGACAACTGGCCATCTAAAGGGGAGGTGACTTTTGAAGGCGTCTCTGTCAGGTATGACAAGACTTTGGACCCAGTCCTGACTGACGTGTCAGCAACTTTTGAAGCAGGTGAAAAGGTAAGTCTAATAATAATGCATTGATTATTGATTTGGATGATTTGTCTATCAGTCGATCATGGCAAATCATGATTAAATCCCCCTTTATTGATTTATTGCTTGCAATTGCTCATACACGTCATTTGATTTTCCTTAAAAGAAAAACTTTGTACCTTTCAGGTTGGCATATGTGGACGTACAGGCAGTGGGAAGTCATCCTTGACTCTTGCTCTATTCAGGATGATCGACAACTTCAAAGGTACAAATGTTTGTTTTTTCGTTTTGAATGATATGCTGTCTTGTTGCCCTAGTTTGATCTTTCTCATCATATTTCATCAGAACTAAAATGTGCTTTAATAATCATTACTTTTGTTTGTGTATCATGTTTTATGGTTTTGCAAAACAAGTTTGCGAGCAGTGCCATTTTTTGTCCAATGTTGCAGGAAAGATCACCATTGATGGGATAGACATCAGCCGAGTAAACCTGACCACCCTGCGATCACGCCTGTCCATCATCCCACAGGACCCTGTACTGTTCAGCGGCTCTGTCAGGTGCTTCTCATTTCTTGTTGTAAGAATAATCATGTCATACCTGCACCACGATATCAGTAAAGTTCAATACGGGTGTTCTGGCCCATGAAATAACTAGCGGTACAGCCTGGGGTTTCAAATTTCCCCAATAATTCGAACCAATTTTCACCTGATCCACCTGCGACGCCTTCGAAAATTAGAATTCCATATTCGGATGTTGATGTTTAGGGACACCGATTTTGAGCACATTCTCGAATGGGTATGACATAGATAATTTAAAAATACAACAAGGTATATTCGGCATAACCCTTGGTCCCAGCAGGTTGGATCCCCCTTTGGCCGCCAGGCAATCTGACCCATGGTCGGACTCACCTGTTCTGAAACAACAGGAGCTAATTGATTAATTTTCATCATCCTTGTCTTGACTTATCTAACTTATGTTTCTTTTTGGACTTCACTGATTTGCAATCGATCAATAGTTTGTGCTTATAAACCTGCTTTTCTGACAACTCTAGAGTGTCACTGATGAAAGGTAGTGGATGGGTCTGACCGGTTCCATAATTATCATATCCAGTTGCTTGAGTAACTTTTTTGGCGTATCTTATTACGTGGATGTCTAACCTTCACTAATGTACCTAGAACTGACTCTGTCTGCTTCCGTTCCTGTGCAGGTATAACCTGGACCCGTTTGACAAATGCAGCGATGAAGAGCTGTGGGAGGCTTTAGAGATCGCCCAGCTGAAGACGGTGGTATCAGAACTACCCAACAAACTAGGTGGGAACTGGTTATAAAGTCACTGTGTGCCAGTTTGGATTAATCTTTTTGTCAGAACCACATTATCTACAGAACTTGTTCTCTGTATACTTTGGAAGTCTTAGAGTAAATGGTAACAAATGATTGTGTCTTTCAGATGAGGCTGTTTCTGATGGTGGAGAGAACTTCAGTGTTGGCCAGAGACAGGTTGGTAAAGTCATGATTTAAACATATCTTATTATACCTACTAGTAGATGTCTAACCTTCACCAACGTATCATAACTTAAATATTTAATGGTTCTTGATAAAAATCCAGAGTGATATGACCTCTGTGACTGGGAGGTCAGAAATTTGAGTAGAATGGTTACCTTGTGGTTTATGTAATTTGATTTTGATCACAATTACTTGTAATTGTTTCCTTGATGTTTTTAACCGATATATGATTTGTTCCCCAGCTGTTTTGCCTGGCCAGAGCTTTCGTGAGAAAATGCCGGATACTCATTATGGATGAGGCAACGGCTTCCATAGACATGGAGACGGTAACTCACTTAATCTTAAATGGACAAAAAGGAAAATGCCTTTTTTATTTACTTACATTTTTAGTTACAAGCAGTAAGCTATTACTCTACATCAATGACATAATGCACAATCAATGTGAAAGAATTGTTATAAAGAGATTTTCATATTAGGTCTTACTTTAATTTGTCTTTTCCACATTTACACAGGATTCCACTCTCCAAAATGTAATCAAGACTGCCTTCCAGGATCGAACTGTCCTCACCATTGCAGTATGTTATTCTTCCCATTACAACGCAATGTCAGATCGTAGCCTTGTATCAATTAACACTGTATACACAAGTATGTCTCAGTTCTGCTTTTGTTTGGCTGTCAACTGCTTGGAAATGCTCTGAACCTATTTGAATCTCAAACATGTAATTGGAGTTGGATGTTGAAAACTGTACATAACACCAACTGCATAGTACAAATTGTCAGGTATCCAACTAGAAGTGTACCTTGGGCCAAGGAGGTTTAAGACTGCTATGCCAGAAAAAACAGTTACTCAAGCAACTGGATATGATTTTGGAAGTAGTCAGACATTTCAGGTAGCACCCACTAAACTCCACTACCTTTCATTAGTGACACGAGAGACACCAGAGTCTCACTTATTTGCATATCAATCAGTTCTTCGTGCTTATAAATATGCAGTTCTCCTGCAGTCTTTAGTGTCACTGACAAAAGGTAAGTGGATGCTACCTGAAACTTCTGACCATTTCCAAAACCATACCCACTTACTTAGTGAGTTACTGTTTTTTGGCATTTATTACCTGGATGTCTAACCTTCACCGACGTATTAAGACTGCTATGTTTCCAGTGACATCCCTCAGACTAAGGTTTGCATCTTTCTGTTCACAGCATCGTATCGCCACCATCCTGAACTCTGACCGGATACTTGTACTGGACCAAGGCAAAGTGGTCGAGAACGACACTCCAAAGAAGCTCTTGAAGCAGCCGAATGGCCTCTTTGCATCACTGGTCAAAGCCAACAAGTAGATAGCCCGCTAGAGTATGATAGGCTCACTGTCTGTTATCATGACATATTTAAGTGTTGCAATGAGTGTGTCTTCATGATGTAGAGTTTTATGGTGGTATTGTAAGACACAAAATGTCTCAAGACATTATTTTTAACGAGCATCAAGTTATTGGTCAACATATTGTTCAATATCCAAAAGTCTTCTTTGGTGCAATGAAGCAAAACCAATTGTGGTTAAGACTATTTTCAGGCATGCTATAATGCTCTACTTGGGACCAAAATTAGTCAAGAATATATTTTGTTTGTGCTGTTTTGTTTTGTTTTTGCTTCAGATGATAGATAGGTGCATAAGGTAAGTTTGTAGTATTATTATACTACATGTACTTGTCAAAAACCATGTCTACTGATTGTTTCTTGTTGTATTATCCTAGAAAGACTTACATTGGTGTTTAAGATAAGACTTCAGCAATCAACCTACAAGACAATGTGACGAGCTTTAAACAACATGCAACCACTGCCATGACTTGACTTCTCAGTGTCGAAAATGCGCTCACACATTATGATTCTGTTGTCGTGAAAGGTACTTCTGTCACAGCAAATAAACTCGAATTCAGGGATTGTAAATTCTTGGTATATAGCTTTTCATCCAATTATCTGTCATATTTGACAGTGGATGGTGTTGCAGATGTCCAAGTATCAATGTATGTGCCATTCTACAATCTTGTATAATTCAGCCTAGTACAGTGAAACTTTGGTACCAAATTTGTATTGTTGGTTTAGGTAGCAAAGAGAAGGTTAATCTAAACCTTTGTAGGCATAGCCTATTGACTTGCTAACTATAAGTGAGTGAGTGAGTTAGTGAGTGAGTGAGTGTGACTGAGTCAGTGAGTGAGTTTACCGAAGATGCATGTATGGTGCACTGATTTTGAACTTTATGTATGCGGCAAGTTTCTCATTAATAATTCTATGATAATATATTTTCGTTTATATCATGTGTTACCTCAGAAAGATGTTAAACGGAATTTCTATATGAAAAATAATCATTATAGCCTTTAAGGTAATCATATATTTGTTCGGTAATATTTTATTATCTATGGTATGTTACTGTGTTACCTATAGCTAGTCTTACTCATTAGGGATAACTTCCCGTTGTTGTTTTAAGTCATCCTGGTCAGAGGTGAAGCTTATGATATAAATTTCTATTAGCTATGCTTGTTCGATGTGGCTCCGCTATGTATACGTATATGTCTTGCGCATCTTCCAGAGGAGCCTCAAAGATGCTGGTCAGTTTTATAGGAAATTACTTGCAAAGACTAAGTCGTTTGCTTTACTGAAGTTTCAGTAAATGTAAAGTAGAGCTAGATCCAAGGTAACATGATTACATTTTTTAAAGGGGAATATTACGTCTGTGCATAATATCATAATTGTTTTGAAACTGGAAGGTTTTAAAATCTGCGGTGTGTCTTAAGGTGTCGGAAATAAAGCTACAATGTACTGTGCTTTAGATACATGTAGATGGTACATGTATGAGAATACATTCTACCTTTTGTATGTTAACATCATGTTCATTGCTGTCCACATAAACTGCGCTATGCAAAGTGATGACTTGACTCTGAGGTGAAGTAAATTTTCAGGTGTATCCGATAACCGTGGATTGATAACTCCACGGACGTGCTTTTCATCAGATTGATGAACTCCACAGCTGTGGATTTCATCGATATGGTGATGAACTCAAAGTGGTCAAGTCCGCCACTAATGCTTGTCTTTGGTTGTGGATTTCTTCGATATTGTGATAGATTAATAAAATGGCCAATCCGCCACTAGTACCAACCCTTGGTTGTGAAATTTACCGATATGGTGATGAACTCAAGGGCCAGTTCGCTACTAAGACTAGTCCTTGGTTGTGGATTTCATCGATTTGATGATGAACTCAACGTCCACTTGAAGGTACTTTCTGGGGCGGCTAATTTGGTGATTTGAGTTTGCACCGTAGGTAAGCCACGGTCTTCAGATATTGCTCTCTATTATAGCTCATATAGAATGCTACTACATTGTAGTCAGTAATCAGAGAGTATGGCAATCACTCGAGATCTTTATTTGCAATCAGATACAGATTTATGTACAGATACATATTCATTCACAGATACAGATTCATGTACAGATATACAGATACAGATTTTCCGAGTATGATGACCGTGTCAGTTCCTACACCTGAGTGAGGAGGGTTGACACGGTGGCCTTCGCGTGGATTTGTTTAAGGTGGATAACAGGTTGCGAATCTGAGACCCTAGTCAGCAGTAGTCAGTACTAAAATGCAAATAGGAATGTGCAGCGATGCACTGGGTGCTCCCATTTTGCACACACAACCCGCCCCAAACTTGATAAAGCTCTTGAGCATCTAGCACCCATTACAGTAGTTTAAGGCCGTGTTTAAGCGGAATCACCCAAGGCAGTTTACATGTGGTTTACCCCGAAGCCGGTTTCAAGTGGCTCCATGTGAACGCTCCGAAATCACATTGAAAGCGCCTCGATCCCAAGCCACTTCTAGAGGTGGTTTCGAATCGGTTTCCCCGCATCGCGATTTGCGTCTGAACGCAATGTGATTTCAATGTAACTTCGCCTGGTCATGGATTACGGGGTGATATTTATTTATTTATATGCAATACCAACTTTTACGTGGCAGCAACTTAAAGAGCAGTAATGGTCAAATAATGTGTCCGTTCTAGGGCGAGCTTCACCGCCTCTGGCGGGACCACGTCGGCATTCGGCCGAGATACGCTGGGAGGGGGGCATCAGCAAGCAGGTCGTTGACCTCTGACATTAATAACACGCCACCTTGCGTGTTTTCATCAAACAACAATAAATGTAGCTCAAGCGAATTGTGATCGGACACGGTTTCACCAGATGTGAGGAATGTGAGTTACCCGAATCGCGGTTTGGGTGATTCCGCTTAAACACGGCCTTAGATGGGGACCCCAGATACACCACTTTAGATGATACACCGCTGGCACCTTTTAACAGGTTATCTTTATCACATTTTGTTCCCAGCACCAGGCATCTGCAATACGTACAAGCGTGCAACTCCAGCTGAAACCTTAGGACGACATTAAGTGAACAAGAGATGGGTATGTATCAGAAACAATATTCATGAAACTGTGAATATTAAATCTATCTGTATACTCTTAGTAGGGATTTTCATGTGGTATCTGTATCTGTATTTGTATAGCCGGTATAACCGCCTTTCGGCGTAACACACCAGCTTCGCAGGCACGCGGCGCGGCGGCAGCTGGCTATATTACACCGATCGACTTGTTCCACCTAACCCTTGAACTTCTAGCTCTAGACATTGTTTAAAGCTATCTATTGACAGTGCCCCTACTGTACTTGGTGACAGTGAGTTCCACTCTGCGATAGTTCTAGGAAAGAATGAATTCTTGAACACCTCAATCCTTGGTTGATAACTCTGGTACTTGAATGCGTGGCTATTTCTTGTTCTCTTCTGGGCTGGTATTAGGTACTTAGTAGTTGGGACATCCACCAGTTTATTAGTCATTTTGTACATCATGCATAGTCTAGACATCTTTCTTCTGTCTTCAAGTGAGGTCCACTGTAGGTTTCTTTTCATTTCCGTGACACTAGCACCTCTTACATAGTTGTTCATACAGAATCTTGCAGCTTGATTCTGTACCCTTTCCAATTTGTCTTTGTCTTTCTTTGTATATGGATCCCATACTGTCGCAGCGTATTCTAGGTTCGGTCTTACAAGTGACGTGTATGCAAGTGATTTTACTCTCGTTGGACATGCCCACAGATTACGTTTAATCACTCCCAATGTCTGTTTCGCCTTAGTTGTGATATTATTAACATGTGCTCCCCACTTCAGTCCGCTTGTCAGCGTGACGCCCAGATACGGATGGATTTTTGTGGTTGCTAAAGCCTGACCACAAAACTGGTAGCTAGTTGCATGTGGTGTTCGTTTGTTTGTTATGTGCATAATGTAGCATTTTTCGGGATTAAACTGCATGAGCCATTTGCTTTGCCATTCTTCCAGGGTGTTCAGGTCTTTTTGGAGAAGTTGTGAGTCGGTCTGTGTAGAAAGCTCTACATACAATAGACAGTGGACGGTAGTGACGTATTGTGGAGTGTTGGTCTGGTTTAATTTGTAGTATTAATTTGCTATAATGCTTGTAAGGCAGGAACATTGGATGGTATGATTCCACCGTGATAAGTCCATTATACTTCAGAACTAACATAAACACGCAATTCTTATGAACTCTATTTGAAAGCGGCGTGCTGCTATAATACGTACTGAAGCTCCCTTTGGCTACTTTGTACGATTTTGAGAATCAGGCTAGGCGAGAGTTAGTACGTAAGCTAGGCGAGAGTAAGTATGTAAGCTAGGCGAGAGTAAGTACGTAAGCTAGGCGAGAGTAAGTATGTAAGCTAGGCGAGAGTAAGTATGTAAGCTAGGCGAGAGTAAGTATGTAAGCTAGGCGAGAGTAAGTACGTAAGCTAGGCGAGAGTAAGTATGTAAGCTAGGCGAGAGTAAGTATGTAAGCTAGGCGAGAGAAAATGTGATGTTATTTACTTAAGGTTGTCGCGCGCAGACGAGACCATTTCATCTACCAGCTCTTGGCCCCCCTCGTCCTCACAAGTGAAACCCACAACTGAAAACTCTCTCAGCACCATGTTTCTCTGTGTCGCAGATGCTAACTGGTCAATGGCAGGTTTTGATACAGTCACCCGACAAGTTTTATCTCTTTGGAACCACGTACGGAGATCTTGAAGACCATGTACTTCACGTCTAACGCACGAGGGGTCGTCAGCTTTGTGGAAATGTAGGCATTTTAGTGTGGTGTTTGTGCTGACGACATTTCCTAGAGCGAGGAATACGTCGTCAACGTTGCTCATTTCAGATGTAGAAGGGTTCAAGCCCAAACGGCCGTTCGTGTTTGATCTGTACAGAATCACAGCGAGTTTAACTGTGTGTAGTGTACTGTTACCACTCAACGCAAGGACGGCATCAGCCATCCTCTGAACCGATTCAGGACTGTCGGTGAGACAGTACTTAAACGTAAGGTTCAACGTATGCAGCACTGTGTTGTTTTGGAAGACAAATGCGATTGAAGGCCACAGGCGATCCTGATCTGTCTTCCTAAGGCGGCTGCCCCTGGAAGATTGGCGCTGGTTGTTTTCGGCTTGGCAGGGGCTTTCGGAAGAATCAACTTCGTCTTCCTCGCTTGAGGAATCCTCCTCGTTTCTTGAAACGCCAACATCATCGTCAATTGATAATTCAAATGTTCTTAGCGTCCTATTATGAGCCAGAGCCTCTATCAGCCTGAAGATGTGCAACCTATGTAACTCACTGTAAGTGATAGGATAGTCCCTGTCTCTCTGCTTGTGATAGAAAGAAAAACGTAGCGCAATGTGCTGAAGAACTTCAGTAACAGCTAACACCTTAGCCAAGATACGTGGAAGTTTCTCGGCATGCCTAAAGGCGGTGCACCTGTACAACATCTGGAGACTGAAGGTTTGGATGGACTTTGACTCGCTGAGAAGCTTTCCAATCGACTCATTGAAAGCCTGGTCATCAACCCTTTCACACATGTAATGATCCAACTCATCATCAGTTCCTCCATACACACCTCCGCCCTCTGAGTCTGACTCGTAGAAGTAGTTTTCCACTCTATTGTGATGGTGAAATGATCCATAGATCCAAAGCTTACACGTTGTTAGTGAGCTTGATGAGACCAACAGGTCCACAGGGAGATGAAGCTTAAGCGGAGGCGGACATTCGTAATCCAGATCACCTAGAAACGTAAGATCATCAATGAACAACTTCAAGATAATGGAGGACAGAGGCTTGCAAATGGACATAGCACGAAGCAGTTTTGTCATTGGTGCGAGATCTCTTTCACTAGCTGTAATCCCATAGATTTGGGCGAAGAGGTGTCGAACTGACTGGGTCCTTTCCAAGACATTCAAGAGAGGAAACTCTTGCTGCTCTGTATCCAAACTAGTTACTGATATGTCATCTAGTTCAACCTTGATAATTGAGAGGTGTCTCACAAAGCGGTTTCTTGCCAATGCTGCAGCCAGCTCCGTAGCCATCGGATGTGACGACAGGTTTATATCGACTCGGGTTACCCCTGGACACTCTGCGTTTAAGATCAAAATAAGACCCAGACGCCAAGTATCATCATACGCATGACCAAAGAGATCTGAAACATCGATAGCCTTCGGGAAACAGGGAGAGAGCACTCGCACTAGACTTGATCCGTTTTCACTTTCAATCAAACATTTGATGCAGAACAGAAACAGAAGCCTGTGCTCGTCCTTTGCATCTTTTCCTTCACTGTTTCGCAATGTCTGGAGATGTCTTAGAAAGCATTCAAACACTGCTCTTGAGCGACTCTTCAAGATGCCGACGAGAAACAGGCATACCTGGTGCAAATGGTCGTTTTTCAACGACTGCAAGACACGATCTTTGAAAGCACGACCGGACCCAGTTAAAGATGCATTTTCTTCTGCTTGCATTTGCCTGACACGTGGCTCTACAAGATAAAGCTGGTGTGGGATGAATGCAAACGAGCCCGTTGGCACAGAGCCACTCAGGCCTGCCTGCATACCATCAGCATCTTTAGACAAGCAAACCGCAGCAAAGTACTCTTGGAACGTTTTGTGCAGAAACGACCAAACGAATGAAGCTTCGATCCGGGATGCCCCCAAGTCCTTAGTGAGAAATCCAAATTTAAACATGCCTCTGTCCGTGGACTGGAAGTCAGTCTCGTCAAAGTTTACCTCATTACGGAGAAGGCCTTCCCAAGCGACTTTGCCCATTTCTGCAAGCTGAGTATATACATGGTCAGGGATAGTTGTACCAGTAATAGTTATGCCGTTCTTGCTACAGTAACGCTTCACAATGCAAAGGACCAAGCTTTCGAATAAACCCGTGATAGTCGACGGAAGTGAACCGTCATTGTCTTCCCAGAGGATACAGAGTAACATGGTGTTGAGGGGATTCGTAGCCAACTCGGCTAGATTCTTGTCTCTAGCTATCCGTGCCCCAAGACTATTCGCAAGCTCAGGACGCCCTTTGAAGTATTTGTGTATGTACTCCAGGCTATTTGCCTTCGTGAAGCCCCTGATATTGCAATGTAAGGGACAACCTTTCAGGTCTGCTGTACACTCATGAGGACGGGAGGTGATCACAACAGTAGCATCAGTCAGGACCCTTTGCTGTATCAGCTTTATCACGTCGGACGTCTGTCTAACCTGAAGTTTCAACTCATCTAAACCATCTAGGATGAAAAGCACTTTGGGCTGGTTGGTAGTCTGTCTTATGTATGACCACAGAGCCTCCCTGTCTATGTCTGTGTCCTCGGGCAAGAGCTGGTCAAAAATGGCATCTTTCACGTCACCGTCAAAGTAGCGCATTTGCAAGAGGAAAGCGAAGTCGAACTGCTGGAATGAGTCACTGGCCCAGTCACACGCCAACTTACGGCACTGAATACTTTTACCTATGCCTGGTGGACCTTCTATTCTGATTCTCGTTGGTTTTTCGGCCTCCTCTTCCTCCTCATCTACTGTAGGAATCTCGCCATTCTTATTCACATCAAATATCTGCTCTATCCTGATCAACCCTGAATCGTTTGTAAAGTCTGGAGCAATATTACTTGATCTTTTTCCTATTTCCCCCCATCCTGAAAGCCTGAGTGGTAGATCCCTATCTGCTCTAGGGTCCTCTCTAGAATCTCGACCAGTATTACTTGATCTTTTCCCTGTTTCCCCCCTCTTTAACCGCCTGAGTGGTAGATCCCTATCTGCCCTGTCCTTCCGGACTACTTGCAGGTTTGTGTACACGTCCTTCAGTTGCAGATGGAGGTCGTCAAACCAGGGAAGAGGCTGGAACTCGGCCAACTTCGTCCTGTAAAGCCGTTTTAGGTGCCACTTCAGCCAGTCCAGCTGTTCTGTGGAGGGAATCTCAGGCCTACGCACTGAAAAGACAAAGAGACGCAATGCAAGCTTGTAGTGAATTACATCACATGTCATCACATGCACATTATGGCCGTAAAATGGGATATCATGTTTAGAAAATAATGGGTAAGCACTGATACAAGTACACAGAATAAAACACATAGCTACAGATAAAAAGGGTTCGTTACCCATCCACCTAACACAACGTTGTCATGTATCATTTACATACAATATATCTCTACAACCAATAGTCAAGTGTAAATCTTTAACGTTAACGTTACATACCAAAATGAAAAAATGAGATTTTTTCACGTACGCCCTCGCTGTTTCTGCCTGTTGACGCCTAACTTGGCATAGTATGAGAACAAGGGCGTAACGTTGTTAGTCCCATCTGGAAAATATAACGGGGAATTTTGTGTGAAATATAGCATTTCAATTGTCTCCCTAAAGAGGTAACGTTACCATTTGTGGCCGGATGACGTGTGGGAATGTTGGCCAAGCTTGCTATGTCGTCCAGTCTGTCTATGTCTGCTGGGTCTGCCTGGTTCAGCTGCGGAACTTCCTCGTTATCGTCATATGTACGTGTCACTTCAGTCCCTACATAAACACGTTGAACAAAAGAGGTTACAGTCCTTTTTTGAACATAACAACACACTTGTAACAACACTTGTTGTTTTGCAAGAACGGCCAAACAGGCAACTGAAAGCAACCAATGTTATTCTCCCCGTGAATAGTTTCATCAGGTTGGTAAGACACTGAGTAAAGAGACTCTTTTTACACAAACAAGTCTTTTATTCAGCCGACGTTATTCAATTCAGCCAGTCACCGAAACGTCGGCTGAATAAAAGACTTGCTTGTGTAAAAAGAGTCTCTTTATTCAGCCAATGTTATTGTTTGGGTGAGGAAAATGCTTAGATGAATCTTTGTTTCTAGACACAAGACATTAAAATCCTGTAGACATTGAACTACTAGTATATGGGCTAGGCGAAAGGCTCCATACCCCCGAAATAGTTGTTGAAACTCACCGTCGGCATACGTGACGTGTGTGACGTGTTGGATAAGAGGGCTGTTGAATGTCAGCTCACAGTTGGCCCCGGGCTGCAGTAGGACGTTGTCCTTGCCTTCCACATGACCAGTGTAACTGATACCCTGAACAGTCCCTGGCTGTTGACATGCCAGGCTGAGCTGCATGCCGTCTACGCAGAAGAGAAGTTGTGATTTATAGTGAGTAACATAATAACGTATATGTTGTAACTGTTACCATAAAAACAACACAGAACACAGGAACAAGGTACCAGTGACACAAAACCCACACGAGACAGGACTCATCAGTGACTGAGAGACCAAAGGAGAATTGCAATTCTCCTCTGGAGTCAGTCACTGACGAAAGCTAGTATATACTAGCTGAAACGTCTGACCGTTTCCAAAATCATCAAAAGCATATCCAGTTGCTTGAGTAACTGCTTTTTGGCGTATCGTATTACCTGGATGTCTAACCTTCATCGACGAGACAGAACTCACCTTGATCTGCCTGTCTCTGAGCATCTCTGGACGAGATTGCCAGTTCCCCCGGGTCTAGGCCATACAAGCGGCACAGAGCTGCGGTATCTGGGGTGTTAGCAGGTGGAGTGGGCGTATCTTCACCCGAGCTGCTGCTTGAAGCCCGTCGTCGAGCGTAAACCTTTGGGCGAGCCCCAGACATGTCGGGCAGCGGTGTTTGGACGGGCTTGCTTTATTTGTGTGTGGCTGTTCAAGGAAGGAACGTAACAGAAATACTCTTCATCAGGCCTGAAGGACAAAGAACACACAGGTGTCAGTATAGAAAGGCGATCGTCGGTATGTTAACAGTTCTCACTGCAACTCTAAAGCCAACAAGCACAAATTGTCAGCCATCTTGCACAGGTTAGTTGTCACGTAGAAAAAGTTACCCGGTGCATTGTGGTCTGTTGTATATGGCCACATCTTCTACAAAACGCCGTCCCTCTTGGAATGAGCTCCAGGAAGTTGACAGGAACCCAAATTCTGGGCCCCGGTTGTGTTTTATGCTGAAAACGTCCCAACCTGGTACGAACAAGCTGTGCACGTAGGAAAAATAGTCGGGTATTTCCGACTGGGGACTCCCCGTTACGTCACCTTTACCTTGGAAGCGGATGTTGACCTTTCCACCCAATGTAATCAAAGCAGTCCCTTCTATTGTACATCTTTACCATAAACCGGATATAATCATAATAATGGGTACACTTGAGTGATATGCACACTATATATATATAGATCTACGTTCCGTTCCTCTGAACAAGGTTAGTTCGTGCTAACGCAGTGGCCCGATCTGATAAACACAGCCGTCGCCCCTAGCAACGCGTTGGTTTCGATGATGTAATGCTCGAAACTAAAAACAACCGGTTGGATCTAGACCATTTGGCGTGTCTGGGAGAGTTGTATTTCTGTGTGGTCGTGTCTGCATATACGTGACGAATGTGTATAATAACAGGACGTCTGACAGCTAGAAATAACTACGTATAAAGAAAAATTAACGGCTCTCAGTGGCAAATGTGCTGATGTTGGCACATTGGCACACCAAATCCGTAGACACACATTTAGACAGATTAGCCTAAGAGGCTCGGTGGGCGTCACTCCACCGTATAGGTGGGGAAGTCGTGTAAAGTGCCTTTCCCAAGGGTACAACGTCGGGCCACGGTGAGTATCGAACCCGGGACCTATTGGCCCTGAGTCCAACTTCTAACCGTTGCGCCACCGACGCCAAGACGAATAACTTGTATGACCACAAATATGGACCTGATTGTGCAGATGATTTATTCCTCCATGTTGGAAAAGATACAAACTAGTCATTGCAATGTGTGCATTAACAAGAATCTTGAGTGTGCATAAAATTCTACATGAATACTAGTAAAGCAGTGATTTCACTGAAGGAATATCCATGTCTATATATCTGTAAAATATCTATGAATTAATATCATTTACAGCAGGCAACATTTTGACGTACATTTTGAAATAAAATTTACATCTTTAGTACTTGATTTGTACTTTAAAACTAGATTTGCGCTCTCTACACGCTGTTGACTGTATAATGTCTTTTCCTCCACTTTTAATTTTGACAAATAAAATAGTATCATTGACTTAGAGTTCCATAAGGTATTTGCGGACTGGTCGGACCATACATGTAATCTTGTTATCGCCTTTGCCCGCCCTTTCTTACGTTAAATTTGAACTATCATATAATCCAAAAATATATCGAAATAGAATTTTTCCTAGATACAGTATAGTTCACAACTTGAGGCACCAGGGTTTTTTTTTCATTCTTCTATTCCTCATTTGTTTGGATAGACTTGACTCTGTAGAATTAAGAAAGTGATCGTGCAGTCCTACGTCCATTCCTGGTAGCCTCCACCAGGCCTTTCTGCGGGGGTACGGATCCTAGATAGAATTCGGTAAAAAATGGAAAAAAGTTGGCCAGGAGAGGGTTAATTTTCCCCTCTGCGCGGGCAAATAAATGAACTTTACGCTGACTAAACTCCCTAGTCAATTATTCTCCCTATGTATATTGGCTTTTTTTTTGGAACCCGCGTTGGTAGTCTGGTGGAGGCTACATTCCTGGTTATATAAAACACAGTGTGACAACTATCAGAAAAATATAGACGACTCTAGTTTGGCAACATTGATGGCCAAAAAGGCTCACTTCAACACGATCATCGGCTATCATCTGTGTTGCTAGTTACATGTTTAAAGTTAAAACTTTTGATCGAATACAATAAAGTTCTCTCGCCTAGAGCTTTCAACTAGTAACTCTGGTCTTCCTCAGTAGACTGACCCAGTGTGGCCCACCACCCTTCACTCAACCGCGATGGGGGCCGACATCGTCTACCAGACACCTTTGACCCAGTGTTGACGTCACACTTCAAAGAAGCCACGTGACAAGACTCACTGGGTCAGTCTACTGAGGAAGACCAGAATGACTGGTCTAAAGCTCTAGGTGAGAGAACTTTATTGTGTTGGATCAAAAGTTTTAACTTTAAACATGATTATCGGCTGACTACCGAATCTGGAGGCTCCGTCATTCCTTTTTAGCCTCTGAGATGATGTTCTCTGGCTTGGCACGTTTGAACCACTCGACCCAAGCACCGTCGAACACCGGGACGTCTTCCTTCCCGCACAGGTAGGCGGCCAGGACCAGCCCGCAGGCCGTCATGCCCGAACCGCAAGTCGCTACCAGCGGGCCCGACAGGTCTGCACCTAGTGAGGCGGCAAGGTTGGTGTGACATCATGATCATCTTAATTGTCTAATTCTGTTTCTGTATATCGGACGTTCCCCTTTTTATATTTTTATCTCGTGTATTATATTATTTCATGTTCAGTGGTGACGTTACTATAAGTTATTTCTCTTGAATCCGTCTAGCCGGTTGATCTGTAGCGACTGTGGGAGCAGACGTAAACTAACCAGGATGGTACCCAGGCTAGAATCCGTCACCACCAGGCATGTATTAAATGTGAAATAAATGTACAAAAGTTGGGGCGGTTACGTTTAAAATGTGGTTTCATTTCAGCGACCAAACCGATGCAAAAGTCACTTTACCCTAGGCAAAAGTGTTTTTTTTTTTGTTGCAATTTTGCAATTTTTTATGTCGCTTTTGCTACCTCGACAGCGAAGCTTGGAGGGGCTTAGAGCATATTCATACATACCTACAGCCGCGAAGACTTCCCGAAGTTTGTCCGGAGGTTTGACGGTTTTACTCTCAGGATCCAGGATCTTACCGAACGGCATGTTGAGGCTGTTGGGGATGTGGCCAGGTTCACAGTCTATAGAGAGAGAGAAAAGTTATAAGGTTTTCAAGAAGGGGAAATGTAGAGCATCGATCACATAAACCTACACTAAGGATCACTAATCTCCAAGCACATCTTTCGGTAGCCGGGTATCCAGTATCCAGGCAGTATGCATTTGCCAGAGGCCACTGGAAACCACATTTTTTGTGTATTGGGTGTATGTCGGCTGTTTTCTTCAGATAATGCGGTATTCACATGTCCGGAACACACACAAGACATGAAAGTACTAGCGTCCTTTGCAGACTTGTAGAACGCGGAGTTGATTTTGTTTCGGTGAACGACGAGAGTTATGCCGCGGAGGGACGATTTTGCCGCCGAGAGAGTTTTGCCGGGGAGAGATGGTTTCGCTGCCCAACAACAGCAAAATTGTCCCTCCGCGGCGTAACTTCCGTCGCTCACAGCGAAACAAAAATAACGCGGCGCCCTACGAGTCTGCGAAGGAGGCTATGAAAGTACCGACCTGCCCTTGGTTCCGGTTCCGTCCCGTTGAACCTGCCGGGCGGCCGGGCGTCCACCACCTGCGCGGTCTTGTCGGCCAGGTTAGTCGTCATGAAGTCAAAGTCGCGCACCAGGGCCGGCGTGTAGGTGGCCTTGAATGTAGCTTTATCGACCTAGGTAGTGATGATAGGAACAAGGAATTCATCGTTTGTTATTTCAAACTAGTACACTGTGCTTTTCTCCAGCGTACGTGGTCACCCAATCGAATGTGTCTAGCTACTCGGAAGACAGCTTTGGCATCTGTATCTCGGTATATACAGCCGGTATAACCGTAATCTCCAGGCAGATCAAATTGGCCAGGCTGTATCCATTGGCCAAAGAGGGTCCTTGGGTGGCTCTCTGGCCAAATGGATACTGCCTGGCCAATTTTATACTGTCTTTTACCACCATAGGATTTGCTTAGATATTAGAATAACCGCCCCTTGGCGTTTATAAGACAGTTGGCTTTATTACACAAACGACTTGTTACACCTAGCCTTGTTACACCTAGCCTTTGACCTAAAATGTTTATAGTTATCTAGTGAGGATGCCCCCACTGTACGTACGTGGTGGCAGCGAGTTCCAGTCTCTACGATAGTTCTAGGAAAAAATGAGTTTTTGAACACCTCAATCCTTGGTGACAGCAGCAACCTTTTCTGTACAAACCTTGGGAATCTCGTTGGACACGCCCCGCCCCTCCGCGCGCCACTTGGTCAGCCCGCCGTTCAGCACGGACACCAGAGGATGGCCGAACACGCGGAACATCCACCACACACGCTGGGCCGAGAACAGACCCATGTCTGCGGAGGAAAACAAATTAAATTGTGGCACTCACAGCACGAAAACAGACATTTAAGCAAACTTTCCGCAATATGTAAAGAAGTATTTAAGTTGAGAAAATATTTCAGTAGACTTTACGACTTCGTAAAGACTGCTGAAAGGCAAACTCCGCCTTTACGTCACCTTTCACCTTTGTGCTTGAACACGACGTAAACATATTTCATATCTTTACGCTTCCTTTATTTACAAATCCGTAAATATTTTTTTGCACGAGGATTACAGAGGCCATCTACACCCGGGCACTACAACCTTTGTCTATGTCTTAATAAAGTTACCACAGTAAAAACTCTTGTCCCTCCTGTCTAGTTTTCCTCCTATTTTGTTTTGTTATATACCCCAATTAAAAACGGGCTCTACAACTTTTCCTCAACAAAGACGGGGGGCGACACAGACTTTCTGCAAGTTACGATCCAATGCTCACCTAGTCACGTGTGTCATTTGCATAACGTGACGTCACGGGAGCGATGGATTGCTCACTCCCTGACAAAGACTGGAGTTGTATAGTCGAAAATTTTCCGGTAAGTCCAATTCTTTGTGTTGAAACTTAAACTTACTGCATAAAATTGTGGCAGCCTATTGATCTCAATCTTTAATCATCAATAAGTTTGTTTATGCATACATTATTGTTTTCGATATATCACACTGCCACAAAAGTGTGAAATAAAAGAAAAACGGTGTTGTAGCTATCTATGTTTTAACTACAGACCTGAGCCGTCATACACGACGACGTGTGTGTTGTTGTCCACGCCTAGACTGCCCACGTAACTTTCGAAGTCTTCTGCAGACGGCAGCATGTTTTCGTACGGACTGGCCTTGTCACAGCATTCCTGTATTAAATATATATACGGTAACGGTTAGAATATAATCTTTAACCGGATTTCTAATCGTTCGTCATTGGAGTTGATTAAGACCCCGTTCACACCAAGTCGCTCTAAGCGGTTTCGATCAAATTTCCACCGAAGCCGGATTCAAGTGGCCCCATCTGGACGCTCCAAATCGCATTGAAAGCGCCTCGATGTTTTCATGAAACAACAATGGATGTAATTCAGGCTGATCGTGATCGGGCACGATTTGAAAGGAACGTATGGCACGTGGACCAGATGTGAGGAATGCGAGTTACCCCGGAATCGCGATTCAGGCGGTAAGGTGTGAACAAGGCCTAAGACGCATGGCATCAAATTGGTATAATATAGTCCTCTTCACAATACGCATAAAAAGTCAGCAACTAATTACTCGCCTAAGTCTTGACAACTGATAATGACTAGTACAAAGAAATATTTTCATCCAGACCTCTTGATCGAAGAAGAGTGCGCCGGGGATGTGCTGCAGTTTGTACTCTCCCCGCTGGTCGCGCTTCTGCTTGGGCAGGTACCAGGAGCAGTCCAGCACGCGGATGGCCCTGGATGACAGGGACGGGGACGCCAGCCGTTCCGCCAGCCACGTCACATTCACTAGGGTCGGCACCGTCGCCATCTTTCGCTACTGTGTATTTCAGCTTGGCCACTGGGTGTGTACAAAAGTACCAATATAGGGACGTTAACATTAGGCCAGTTCCAAAAGTCTATCAAATGTAGGGCAAATATTACAGCTGAAATATTACATTAACCATGAAATGTGAAATATTACAGCTGAAATATTACATTAACCACGAAAACAGCTACGGTAAAAATACAAGTACGGGCATCATCACGGTCTATGCCTGCAGACGACGTACATCGTATCAAATTACATACCGATAAAACAAAGGGAACCGTGAGTTTTTTTACTTGCAAACGCGTAAAACCAACTGACCACAATACTCCTGCAGGAGGGATACCTCCTTTACGGAGTAATACTATAAGTGAATATGACAGGAAGAAAACATATTGTGTCATTGAAACAAGAGACGAGAACCAATAATAGGCGAGTAGTACAGTAATCTATTAAAAAAAACAATAATAGGCGATTAATACAGTCTACCCGGAACACCGGGAATCGAACCCGCGCCGAACCCGGGCAGCCAGCTTACGAACGCTAACCGCTAGGCCAAAAGGTCCGGACCCGTTGGACTGCCAGGTTAGTCGTGCTTGAACCCCACCGTTACACCGTCTTTTGCCAAATCTGATGACTTTATGTGAGCAAATTTCGGAACAAGTCCGACTCCCAAGTTAATCCTCGAGCCTGTAAGTAATACCTACATTCAAGTTTACATTTCGGTCAAATTGTATCTTAAACAAGCTTTGACTTATTCCGCTAGTTAATCAGATACAGATGCCATACCACTTTAATAGTTCGTAGGACTTAGTTACAGTGGATGTAAAATATGATACTACTTTCAAGATGAACAGTTGGCCAATTGTTTCTTTAACCTTGGTTACCTGCCTCAAAGATACACAGAGAAGATTACTAAGGTAAGAACTACTGTACTAAGATTATATTTTCTGTACAGAATCCTTGAGAAGTAAGCCATTATGGGTCACCGGCAGAAATTACTACCTTCGTTGCCATGGACGGGCGACAAAACAACATTGTGGAAGGATAAAAGTGGTTGCCTTAAGGCTAGGATGAGATTACCAGAGTTTTTGTGCAAATGGTTGCAGCTAATGCTAAGCTTTGAAGTGATTTACATGCTGAGATGCAGACGTGATATGAAAGAATGAACACGGGGGAACTGTGAAAAGTAGTGGCCGTGGGAAGGTTGAGAAAAATCCTTAGTAGAAACCGTGCGGAAATTGTAATGACAGGAAAATAAACTTTCAAATAGATCCTTTTTTTTACACTGCTGGGCGTGTAAAAGAACGTAAGTTGTAGAATCACGAGAATTATTGTCTGTCAACATTGAAACCCGTTTTCATGGATCAACTTCTATCACTGAGATAGTGTGAACAGTTCATACTCTATTAATCCGCATGTTACTGAGCATTGAAGTCTAAAAGAGAAGAATATTGTATTTGCCATTTCCGGGATGCGGTGCTTAGAATATCGAAGATTGAAAGGGAACAGTTAACGTTACACGTATCATAAGTTGGAGACACTGAACAGTGTTTATACGATGTTTGTGAAGAGTAATATTAAGCCCCATTTATCGTTACACTGGCTAAAAAAAGTAACGGTTACCTTCTTAAGACTAGAAGCGATTTTAATTGTCACACCTACAAGGGTCACGTACAGCTCGTACCAAAATGGAAATAGACCTACGGGCAAATGTGAAATTTTGAATATTTGACAACAACGAGGCGGGAATTGAGCCACAGACACCGATGCGGTGACATTGAAGAGTGAAGACATCGCACGTAGACACACATCACAAAAGCACCGGTCTCTAGCACGGGTCAACTATTATATATAACGTTAAGAGTTAAACCTTAAGAAATACATGTACTACTAAGAAACGCGCTAGCCGTACACAGAGTTCTATCAAACGCTTTTAGACCATTCACACTATCGCAGTAAAGACACAATGCTCATATGTCATACCAGCGTGGAGCCAAAAACACCAGCGAGGATATGAAACGGTACATGCAAGACCCTACCTGGCGAAGACACCTGTACTAGCCCCTGTTTTCTCTGGCAACCGCTTTAGGTTAGGGTCACCTTAAGCGGAATGTTACACTTTAAGAGGGGTGTCCGGAAGGTAAAGTGGGCAGATTAAACTGTAACTTGCATTTAATAGCTACTTCACAAGTACTCATTTTTATATGAGCAGTCAATAGCAGGCATTTTGATGCAGACACAGCTTCACGTTTCTTTCATTGTTTCCGTTATCCCCCCTCCAAATAATGAAACAGTCCATAATTGAGGCATAATGGGTACCTAACCGGAAGTGAACTCACCCACTTCCTCCTGAAATTTCCTGCTCTCCGGGGTTCGTGTAGACTGTCCAGAGTCCACGGATCTTGGCTGATTTTACCGATTTTCCATAAGAATTTCTCGACGATATCGAGGTAAGAGGTAGATGATAGAGTGTAGAAGTAGGTAAGAGCATCGTAGCTCCGAAAATACTGAAAAATCGATAAAAACATGACAAATTTGTCCTGCCAGGCTTCCTCTGTTCCTGTCTTTCCGGAAAAAAAAGTTGATTTGGCTAAATTATTTTACCGATTTTCCAGAAGAATTTCTCGACGATATCGAGGTAAGAGGTAGATGATAGAGTGTAGAAGTAGGTAAGAGCATCGTAGCTGCAGAGAAAATCGCCTAAAATGCTGATAAAAATACACGACTGTCCTGCATAGCTTCCTCAGCTCAGTTCCTGTCTCTCCTAGATCCTGTAATAATTTTTGACTTGGCTATTTTACCGATTTTCTAGAAGAATTTCACACAGTATATGGAAGCCTTGTGGCTCACTTTCTGTTGTGCACAACAAAAATGCCCCGCCCTATGTTTTCGTTATGTCCTGTGTAATTGAATTTATTAAATGTTTATAGGCGTGGTGAGCTAACTTATATGTAAATTACATGTCAAGAAGCATCGACACTAATAGAAACAGAAGTTGTGATTCCTACAATAGGTAACAAACCCATTTTATTATTCGACTCTAAGGCCACACCAATTTAATTTCTTGGTTAACGGATTTTTCTAGAAAAATAATGGAGCGGGCGGGCGAAAAAAAATAAAAACAGGCCTAGGCATCCTATTATGCCCCAAAATGGTACGATAGGAACCATGAACTCAACACACCAGGCTGGTTCAAAATTTAAACAATGAATTTTGAACTTTTAATGATACCATTGCATTGAAAGATGGAATAACTGTAACAACTAGGATGAAAAGGTCTGTTTTCAACTGTTCAGGGCAAAATATGAGCATTTTGCAGTTGATTCTGGATTTTTATTTTTATTTGCAAATCAGAAAAAAATGAAGCGGCGAATCCGTTAACCAAGAAATTAAATTGGTGTGGCCTAATCTTATTCTTAGGAATTGTGTAAAAGTAAAAAGTATTAGTAATAAATAGCCATTTCTGTTTGTGTTGTTTCAGTATTTATTGTAACAGATTTACAAGAAGCAGTGTGACTGTTGAACAAGGATGTCACTGCCTCAGCAGCACAGCTTTGGGTACGGCCCTGTCACCTGTGCTGCCTTCAACAAGGATCGCACACGTACGTATCAAACAAAGTCAAGTCCTTACTGTGAATTGTGCAACAAACTTGAAAATTATCAACATATGTTTTTGGAGTGTCATAGATTAGACAACTTCTGGAGTAGGATAGAAAATGAAACACACATTGTTATTAATGATCAAGAAGTGTTACTGGTGAAAAGTAGTAGTGCAAAAATCATAACTGTTGCTAAATACGCAATATTTATTTCTTGGTTAAAATGGAAAGATGATTATAGAAAGAAAGATGATGTATTCCTAACTTTTATGAATTTGTGTCAAACTTATATTTGATTTTCAGTTACATTATCAGTATTTTCATGTATGATATGTATATGATGTTCACTAGCAAGTATCTATACTCAGACAATTTCTGGAAAAATGAAACACACTTTGTTATCAATGATTATAACTGTTGCTAAATACGTATATTTATATTTACATTGTATGATCATGTATCTTATGTATATGACTTAAGAGCTTTGAAGAATAAAATCGTTCAAAAAAAAAATCAAACAAAGTCAAGTAGATCTAAGTTATATATCTATAAGTTTGTATATCTACAGAATGGAACAGGTAAATTTGCATGCCATCTCAACACAATGTTTTCAGTACTAAGGCCACAGCAAGTAAATTTTATGGATGACATCCTCCGCAGACTTCAGATCTAATGCGATTTAGGGAAAAAAAAACAAGGTGGGCCCAAAAAAACAAGATTCCTACATTTTCAAATTTTGATATCTAGTGCCTTGTTTGATATCTAGTACCTTGTCCACTTTGCCCATTTTCAGCATGTTGACCACTGTCAGAAGGCAACAAAATTTCTTTTTTTTTTCTCTAAATCAGGCGAAAATTCATGCGCATGCTGATGTCATCCACAAAAATTACTTACTGTGACTTAACATCAAGAACTGAAGGAAAATGCATGATATACTGTAAGTCTACAAATTTCCGCGGTATATTTAGATTCGCGGAATTTGCGGGGACCTCTGTACCGCGAATCTATTTCCCCGCGAATATGTTTTGCGTAAGTGTGCCCACCTCCCCACATGCATTCACGTCGGTAAGCGAAACACAAACACACGCAACAAACACAAATCACTGCAAATCAACTCTATTCTTAGCAAATGTACGTATGTTGAGTACCAACATTTTTTTAAGTTTTACTGATGTCAAAAAATTATAATATTATGAGACACCGAATCGCGATACTGCGGCACTACCGTGGGCCGCTACAAAACCGAAGGCGACCTTTGCATACTTCCGGGTTCAAAATCTCGCCGAAGACGACATAAATATTCTTAGTAATATATATTTTCCCGAAAGATTCTTTCGATTATGCATTTCTTCACTAGAGTATCGATGTGTAGTCGTGGAAAATAGCGTTTTAGCGCTTATTTCCGAACAAAGAAAATTGTTTACACGTGCGTCAGATCGATCGTCAGCTACACCGCCGGCAGTCTCGCGCGGTGCACGAAACACATTTTTGCGCCGCGTTTTAGGATATAAATGCCGGAACACGAACTTTTATTATTTTAAATATACACTTTACAAATTTTTCTTTGAACAATAGCCAAGGAGAAATCGCGAATTTAGAAATACCGCGGACTGTCCATTTTCCCGAAACCGCGAACTTTAGGCCCCGCGAATCTAAAGAGACTTACAGTATACATATACTAACTAGTATACCTTTTTGTATGTGGAATACTTGAGCAGATAACTGATACTTCAATCCCCTGTATGTTATTGTTATAGAGGTGGCTTTGTCCCCCAACAACAGCGAAGTCCACATCTATGCCTTACGTGGAAAGAGCTGGGAGAAAATCCATGAGCTAAAGGAGGTAAGGATAACATCTACATGTAGTTATCAAATACTAAATTTAATGTAGTATCAGGTATTAAACATTTGTCTTCAGTTTTAAAAAAAATTAAGTCTTGACAAGTTGAACCATACAGTAATCAACATTGCTACTACTGTGTTCACTATGATAATAATAGTATATACAATGTACATGTACATATAAAACTGCATTGATGACATTTGCTAGGTGTCTGTTCTTTGACCAGACCTTTTATATACTAAGTTTACTTCAATAAATCATTTTTTACAGACCTATGTGAAATTATCTGCCAGAATATCTCAGATTTTTATCAATCAAGTTTTCAATAGGTGTATACAGGAGATTATAAGGATTGTTTTAAAGTCTGATCGATAAGCAGATTTTTACAACTGTTCTCAAGGGTTTTTGCAACAAAATAGTTTATCTAAAGTATGTGTGTGTAGGTGTTACAAGAATTCATTTTGTTGTCTCTTTTTGTTCCTGGTAACTTTTCCCTCTCGTCTTAAACCTTCTGTCACTCCCCGTGACGTCCCTACGCCTCCGTCTCATTCCTCGTTGTTCCTTTCCTGTCTTTTCTTTGTCCTCTCTGCACACACACTGTGGTTTTGGTCAGCACAACAATGCCGTAAGTCACAAATTTCTCTTCTCTTGGCTCGCTACAGGGTGTGTTTGTAGAGCAGGGCTCGAAATACTGGGTGCATGTGCACCTCAGTGCACCCAAAATTGGAACTGTGCACCCAATTTTTTTCTGTAGGTACACTGGTGGACCCAAATATTTTTGTACATATCAAATGTATAATAGTATGCAGGATATTCTTGGCATCTAAGTGTCAGAAGAATAATAAAATCTTTGTTGTAATACTTTTTTAAGATTAGTTAGCTCCCATTTCATATTCAAGCTCAGAAGAGGGGCAGCAAGATCTGTAATTAGGTTCTGTTTTATTTGGTGCACCCAAACAAAATTTTGTGCACCTAATTTTTTAGGTTGGGTGCACCAGTGCACCTATTCCCAAAAATGAATTTCGAGCCCTGTAGAGTGTTGCATCCCTTGGTTTTTTGATAACCTTTCTTTTAGTGGTAACTATATGTTGGTGTTCTTTCTTCCTTTCTCTCATTACCTCTTTTACTAGATATGATTGCTAAAATTGCTAACACCATTGACGGAAATGCCATTATAAAAAAGAGTTTGCACTAACATTTTGCAGTGTTACTAACTGACATGCATAAAAGTGTGAGCTTTTTGGCTTACTTAGGTTATTTAGAACTCATGATATTTGCTGACTGTTAAAAGCATTTCAGCATTTAAGTTGAGAATGCAGGTATTTTATCCAAGTACAAATGTACATTTTGATACATGCACTATCAGTTTTCAATGAAGAAAATCAACTTGTATGCAGGCTTTTCATCTGATGCCATGTTGGATTACAGTTTTTTTATGTTGAATACTCAAACATTTTGGTGCTATAATCAGCCAAGAAATTACACTGAACAGTTGACTTAATGTGCAATACCACAAAATTTAAAGACAACTATCTCTGTCTTGCATGTGTATTGCAGTTGTTTAGACATTTGAAATTCAAACAAGTTTTTATGCATAGCTCAAAAGATACCAGAGATGGCACGCTAATTGGCATCCATCAAAACCAAGTAGAGTGGTCATACTGGTCAATATATTGTTTGGTGTGCCTTTAATCTTAAGGGTCAACTACTGATGGTCATTACTATTTTTGTTTGGATGACCTTCCATTAATAAAAAGGTTGAAAGGTATCTTGTTATCAATGTTAGCTGAAAGTAGACCGACTGAGAGTGTTGCTAGATAGATATAATTACATTGTACTAACCATTCCTGACGTGAATATATCTTGAATAATATGAGCATGCATGTAATGTTCATGATTGTTTTTTCTCCATAGCACGGCCAGTGTGTGACCGGCATTGACTGGGCCCCGGAATCCAACCGGATTGTGACATGTGGTGCTGTGAGTATTGTTTCTTTGTCAAGAAAAACAAAGTTAAGATGTATACAACATCTCAATTACAGGGAACATTTCATTCTTTTCTACCTTGTTCTAGCCTTATTCAACTTAAGCATAGCATTGGAGTGTCTAGTGCTAGAAAGTTTTAGGTTGTTATTGTCAGAGTCAATGACATTTGGTGGATGTGAAGTGTAAAATCATAAATAAACAGCCCTTCTTAAGAAGAAAAGCATTACCAATACCAGTATATAGAAATTCAGTTCAGTAGTACATGTATGTATTATGTTAAAGGCATCTAATGCAGTTTTTAGGGCCTGGAAACCAGATTCTTCAAAGCCAATATTCTAGTCACTTATCTACATACTGAGTTGAAACAACACTCCCCCAATGTATATTCATTTAGCAATGTATATTCATGTAGCAAAAATGCCCAAAATTCTGATGAAAAACGGTTACTGAAAGGACCCTGGGCTGATTTTAAGGGTACCACACAGAAAAGAAAGGACTCATCTTGAAGCTTGTTTCTGCAGTTTTAAATGCCCAAAGTATAAAATACTGATTCAGATGGCTTACATTGTATGTGGGGCAGTATGTGTCAATTACTCAATATCAGATATATTGCCTCTTTCAGAATATCTCCAGTTTTGCCGCCATGACATTGCATTGGATGCCTTTAAACAAAGCAATTTATGTATCCACTAGACCTCATTTCTGCATGTAGACATGTACAGGTACAGTGTGAACCATGACCGGTAGTGTTAGAATGTTGTGTTGTGTTGTGTTCCAGGACCGGAATGCTTATGTGTGGGTGATCCAGGACGGCTCCTGGCGCCCGACCCTGGTTATCCTGCGCATCAACCGTGCTGCTACCTGCGTCAAGTGGTCACCCAAAGGTCCGTTTTATCCCCACAGTACCGCATCCATGTGATTCGTCATTTCATTAAATCATTTCTATACTCATCAGTGGAGCAAGTGGATGTTCATTTTTGTTTATGTTTATTTATAAAGATTTACCACATTTGAGGAAGGATTGACATAACAGGTGACTATCACCTCTTTAAGATATCAAACCTGAGACCAGACTGTAAGGTTTGAACCACTCACATTGGGAAGGTCCCCTACTCTTTTCTATAAGTGTGGTGGAATCTTTAACGTGCGTGGGGTGTGGCTCTCCCAAACACGGGACCTCCATTTAACGTCCTATCCGAGGGACGTCCCTAACCAAAGTTAGGTACTCATTTACACCTGAGTAAAGTGCATTTCCCAAGGGCACAAGATCAGTGACATCGGGATTCGAACCTGGGAACCTTTTGGGTCTGAGCTACCGCTACGCCACACGACCCCACCCTGTTGTTGGAAGTGTTTTGTTTTTTTTAAACTGTGGCAAAATTTCTCTTACTTTGAACTGAGTCTTGATTTGTTAAAGGTCATTTAATTTTAGCAACTTAAGCTGTCACTAGTAAAATGATTTCGCCACAACTGTTTGATCACTGTAGCCCCCCTGACTCTTGTCCTAGCACTTACTGGATTATACAAGCTCGTTATGGCATGATCGCAATAATGCTTCTTGGCTAAAACATGGGTTACCGCCTTACCGGGGTCTCAAGGAGGAGAAGTAAATAATTTTGGCATGCATACATATACATGATGGCTCATTAAGAGGTGAAACACTAACTAACAAGTGTTTGTCTGTACAGAGGACAAGTTTGCGGTTGGGAGCGGGTCCCGCCTCATCTCGGTCTGCTACTTTGAGCGGGAGAACAACTGGTGGGTCAGCAAGCACATCAAGAAGCCAATCAGATCCACTATCACATGGTGAGTGGAGTTCTTTTTTTCTATTCTTCATTTACATCATGTTCACGGCAAAACAAGGCTCATGGGAGCCACTCAAATGTTTTGGGTTACTGTACCGACAGTGAGGACAGATGTTTGTTGACTTGAAAAGTTTAAGGTTATACCCATATGGGAAACAAGCACGTGGTAGCTTGTTCCATAGTTATGTTGTTCTAGGAAAGAAGCTTTAGGAGTGGAACTTCCTCCTAAGAGGTAGTGTACATGTTTGGAGGAAGAAATGGTGATTTGCTTCAGTGGAAGTGGCAAAACATCACAGACAGTTAATGCTGTCTTCAACAACACCAAATGTAGATTAATAGTGAAAACTTTTAATCCAACACAAGAGATTGATCTCTCGTGTAAAGCTTTCGACCAGTCACCCTGGTCTTCTTCAATAAACATGTGTCGCGTGGCTTCTCTGGCCTGTCTGTTGAGGAAGACCAGAGAAAAAACTCTAGGTGAGAACAGTCTCTTGTGCTGGATCAAGAATTTCAAATTTAAACATGTAATTATAAAATAACAGTACAGATGAACTTTCATGAAAATTTAAATACAGATTGTGGTGGGTCAGTTCTGATGTGCATGATGACACTGAATACTAGATGCATTAGAAGTGAAACAGACTGACTGCATTGTGAATTTTGTTCCCTACAGTCTGGATTGGCACCCCAACAACATCCTTCTGGCTGCTGGGTCATCCGACTTCAAGGCAAGGTAAGACTTGAGTCAAGTACAAACTTGGAAGGCATACTTGTTGACTTAGGCACAGTTGTAAGGTGACAGATGACTACAAAGTAAAAAAAAACGCTCTGATCCTAACTAGGCTTCAAATGTGGTCGTGTTTCAACTGTCTTTCATTTGCAGCATATGCAGGGCTCTAGCCAGTGCCCATTTTTCAGTCACTTGCCGGAACTTTGACGGAAAAATTTTGAGTCAATCTGCCATCCTTGACAGACAAACTAGACCCAATCTTGGTTAAAATATAATAACAGCCAAAGGATCACCGACAACCTCTCTCAACCCCATGACTTGCCTCTAAAAATGTGGGAAATTGCATTTTTCAAAGGCTTGAAAATACAAAAAGTCCCAACAGAGCTTGGACCCCCCGTTCCGACTATAAACCTGGGGTTTATTTGAGCTGGCTATAGCCCTGAGGTAGTATGGCGGAGGTAAAAGTAGAAAGGAAAGACAGGAGTACCAAAAAAGACGTCTGCACAATAAGACTTCAACTCAAAAGAACTTGTTTTATTCTAAGAGTTTGGTCTAAGATACTACATCTTAACGTTGCCGTTTGGATGTCGAGTATGGACACTAGTGTCACTTTCGGCAGGGTCGAACGGCTAACGTTTTACACCTCTCCTTAGTAGTACGTTAGAATGGCTTACTACGCCTTTCTTACATTACAACACTGGGTCTAGCACAAACTGAAATGTCTTCCTTCCCCAGGGTGTTCTCAGCCTATGTGAAGGAGATGGAGAGCAAGCCCGGCCCCACCACCTGGGGCACTAAGATGCCATTTGGTCACCTCATGGCTGAGTTCTCCAACAATACAGGTGAGTTTCAAACTTCAAGCTTTATCAAAATCAAAATGGCAGTACAGTACTGAATTGTGTTGACTTTTAGACCAATACCAGTCATTAAGAAACATAATAAAACATTGAAGACACTACAATTATAATCTATAAGTCTTCTATTCTATTCTTCAATAATTATGTTTACCAAAAAAAACGTATTGTTTTTGCTCAGTGTCTTCTTCTCCAATCAAAAAAGGTCAATGACCTGTACCAGATGGCTGTCACCATGGTAACTGCTGTAGCAGACACCCTGTGGTGTTGGATTACATTATGTAGCAAGTGGCAGGACTGAGTTGGATTCATGTCACCATATAAATGTATGTTGTTGAACAAGAATAAACAGAGCAGTAGTTTGTTAGGCTGGACCATGTGAATGAGAACATTATGCATTTGGGTTATGTTACCTTTCTAGTTCTATACTTATTCCATTCTATGCTGTTTTCTTCAATAGGTGGCTGGGTGCACTCAGTGTGCTTCAGTCAGTCTGGAGAGAAGCTGTGCTGGGTTGGCCATGACAGCAGTCTGTCTGTGGTGGACTCAGCCAATGGCATGGTCCATACCTCCAACACGACTGAGTTCCTCCCCTTCCTGTCCTGTACCTGGGTCACCAACAACAGCATTGTGGTCGCAGTAAGTTTCCATGCACATGTTGTAAACTGTGTTTAAAGTTAAAACTTTTGTTCCAAAGAAGTGTTCTCTCCTAAAGTTTTCAGACAGTCACTCTGGTCTTTTTCAATAGACTGGCCCAGTGAGTTGACTGGGTCAGTATATTGAAGAGTACATCGGTTTTCCGACATTGAAAATGAAAATGTCCTCATGTAAGTTTTACTTTATCAAATTGTACTTTTTACAAATGGATCACTAGAAATCTCCAAAGTCTAAAAAAAGAAAGAAAAAAAGATAACCCCTATCTTCCAGCCTTTTTTTTTTCAGGACTGAAACAGGAATTACAACATTTGTTTTCCTAGGCCTGATATAGTTTATGCCTGAGCCAAGTTATGTTTACTAAAGGAAAACATATTATTGTTTTTGCTCTGTTTCTTCTTCTGTTCCAAACACTGAAACATTATGTAACCCAACATCAGTTACCATGGTGACAGACAGTCTGGTT